GGGAGAGTAGCGCCTGGGGCGTACAGATCAGCACGGAGGAGCTTGCCCTCGTTGATGCAGTCCCACACCCATTGGGGCTGGACATAGGTTCTGCCGGGGATGCGGGTTCCCGGTCTGACCTTCTGAGCAGCGCCCTCTGTCGAAGCAGCAGGGATAGCGGGCAGCGAAGACTCGGGCAAAGAAGGACGATCGACAATCTGGTGGGTGATGCGAGTATCCGTCTCATCGTGGGTGAAAGCTCCGTCGCCAAGGACAGCGTCCCAGCCGATCCTGCTGCAGCCGAAGGAGCGGAGGATGAACTCCAGGGGCGCCTTGGGAGCCTCACGGGAGATGTAGAAAACGAAAGGTGCGAACAGAGAGCCAGCCTCATCTCCGCTCAAGTCGGGCTGGGGCAGAGTGTCGGCCTCGGGGGCAGTAGGCTCGAATTTATCGATCGCCTCGGAAGCTTCTTCGGTTGTCTCGGTAACTTGCTCGTCTTTCGTCTGATCCAAGCCTGCGGTCTTGATGACCTTGTCGACCTTGGCCTGAACCTCCTTAGAGACTTCCTGGTTGGAAGGCTTGCTCGCCTGCTTGTTGGCTTCGAGAGCCTTGGGGGTTTCGCCGACGGTGCGGCCCTCCAGAGTGAAAGCCGCCAACTCAGCACCATTCTCGTCACTCCTCTTATCGAACTTGGGGGGATAGCGAAGGCCAAGAGTCGAGTAAAGACGGTAGTTGACGAATCCGAGCAGAGTGGTGTAGAAGTCGACGAAAGTGGCCATGATACGGTAGTCGACGTCGCCGTTGACACGCTGCACGAAGCGGTAGGGCACAAGCCACATGATGTCCTGTCCCTGGATGGTTGCCTGGTAGTAGATACCCTTGATCGACAGGAAAGATTTGCGCAGGGAGTTCGTGGTGATCAGGTAGTGCTGGAACTCGTGGGTAACCCGCTGGCAGGGAGCGATGGTCTTGGCTGGGACATGGGGAGAAGAGGGGAGGTTGGCAAAGAGGAACAGCAGAGACAGGGCATCGTCAAGATCTCTCAGAGCGTCAATGAAGGTCGGGTAGCGCTCCTTGATGATGTGATCCAAGGTGAGTTTCGGCGCGTGGTTCTTCTCCAGACGGGACGCATCTGAGACTTCACCACGTCCAAGGGAGCGGGCAATCTTCTTCGCAAGCGCCTTTTGGTCACGAAACTTTCTCAGGAGAGGCTCATGGAGGAGGAACTGAATATCTTTCGTGTAGTAGAAAGTGGTGTTGGGAGTGGAGGTCTTGGAGGCCTTCTTCTTGCTCCGGGGCTCACGGGGATAAATTCCTGTTTTCCGACAAGAAGAAGAATCAGCACCGTGTATATGTCTCAATGCCTCAGTCCATCAATAGGATATGCATACCCTTGAAGATACATAGTCGACGGAAATCCGGGAGGGAAATCTGAAGTTTGCGCACGGCCTGGGTTCTGGTAATAAAGTTTTTGGCCTGGCCAGAGGTTCCTGAAAAAAAAAAGGGATTGTTAGCATGAAATTGTCGCATGAAAATCATGAGTGTATGTACCCTTCTTCTTGATCTTAGCCATGTTTGCGACAGTTCTGGTGCAAGTGTTGCGGGTTGAAGATTGGAGAAAATCCCGATAACCAGAAAAATCTCGATAAGTTTTTTTTTTCTTTTACTTTTCTGGATCAGCAGCTCGGAGTGGTCCGTGCACGGCGGAAAAGGGAAATGCGCGGAGTCTTGGCACGTGAAGCCAACCGGACAGCTGGAGATCCGCGGCCTCCAAATCCCCAATCGCTTCAAGGCCGTTGCATAGGCCGTCTCTGATCAATACGGGCATGCGCTAAGTGGCCAGTTTACTTGAAGTCAGTATGGGGGTAGATCATAGGAAAGCCGCCGTGTTCGGTGGTGCTCTGGCCCTGCGACTTCTTCTCTCAGTATTGTTCCCCTCACTCCCCGACTTGTTGACGGGTAGAGTCGAGGTATCAACACCGGTGACCAGCTTCAAAAGACGTGAGTCAGAGCTAACAGGCTTGAAATTACTGGAGACTAATGATCGTCTTTATAGTTCAAGAAGGTCTTTTCCTGTACATGCGCAATGTTTCCCCCTATGACGGAGGCGTCTTCCACCAGGTATAGCCGACGACTATACATCCGAGTGAACACTCCTAACAAAGCACAGGCACCGCTACTTCTTCCTCTATTTTCCCTCCTACCGAACGCACAATCTCATCCTATTCCCACTGCGGTATTCTACTCGCTGGTAGACCTGGTGAATGCGAATGCTCTGGTTACGATCTCGGATTCGGGGCAGGCGGTATCGGGGAGATTCTATTCGGCATTGCGGAAGCATATTAGATGGGATGGAGTGTCTATCGCGGCATGGTAAAGGGCGGATATCTATACTCGGTGTTTCTTGGTGCTGACCTTGTCAGGTTTCTATTCAATCCCTTCACCATCGCAACCTGCTTGGGCCGATCGACTGGGGTATTTACTACAACCGGAATCCTATACTCCTTTTCAAGCGCTGTCACTGGAAACAGTCTGAATGCAATGCTGTCTCTGGGGCTTGCATCGTACCTGTCGATATATCCCGCACTTCTCTTCATTCCGCTTGTTCTTCTATGCTACGACCAGCGAGTCCAGAAAGCCAAGGTTTCCTCCGGCGCCCTACCGTTCGCTCTACAACACTTCGCAGTTTTCCTTACATGCATTGCAGGACTGCTTGGCATATCTACTCTGTTGATTGGCGACTTTTATAGCTTCATCTCTGCGACATATGGTGTCCAGTTGCTCGTGCCTGACCTGACCCCCAACGTTGGCCTTTGGTGGTATTTCTTCATCGAAATCTTCGACTCTTTTCGCGAGTTCTTCCTAGGGGTGTTCTGGCTTCACTTGGCTGCGTACATGGGTGGCCTTACTGTGCGACTGCGCCGACAGCCTTTGTTTGTGCTGACGTCCCTTCTGGGCATCTTTGCCATATTCAAGCCATATCCCAGCATTTCCGACGCCTCACTATATTTCGCCCTGCTTCCACTCTACCGCCACCTCTTCCCTCGTAAGCACACTTCCGACTGTATCTATTGACATGTGCTAATAGTATTTAGTGATGCGATACACCTTTTTCGCAATCTCCGCCCTTCTCTACGCCACTCTCCTAGGGCCCGCCTTCTATCATCTCTGGATATACGCCGGCTCCGGTAACGCCAACTTCTTCTACGCCATCACTCTGGTATGGAGTCTTGGCCTATCAATATTACTAGCGGACACCATCTTCGCCGCCCTCCGCGACGAATGGGAATACGACAACCCAGAGTTGCGCGGCAAAGAAGTGCGACAAGTTTAACTGTACTTTAATCTACATACCCACTATAGCATCATCCAGAAAGAATGAAGGCTCCATAGATCATACATACGGCCCTCCATCCAACCTTACAGACATAATCTTATAATCCGGCTCCTTAACCATCCCATTCCTCAGCCTCCTCGGCCGAGGACTATACTCATCCGTACCAAACCCAATAGCCTCATAAAGCCTCTGAGCCACCCCATTTGACGTAAACACCGTCAACATAGCCTTCTCCATCCCAACCCGTCTCCCTATCTCCATCAACACAAGCAATAACCGCTTCCCGAGCCCTTGCTTCTGCACCTCAGACGACAGATGGATCTCGTAGAGATAAATCACCTCTTTCCCGTCCTCGTAGGTAATCATGAATGACATGAACCCGACCACTGCGTTCTCCCCCTCCCCTTCACCATCATCTGATGATAATACCTCCCGACGAACAACCAAATACTTCATATCAGGAAGTTTCATCTCCTTCTTCTTCTTAGTGGGCGACCACCCCGTCGAGGAATTCTTGTATGCCTCTGAGGATGTCTCCTCGATGAGATTGAAGCATGCATTTAGGTCAGTGGTGGGGATGGTGGCTGCGTCGTAGATAGATAATTTGTACTTTTGCTCTTCAGAGGATATTGTGTCTTCGGGTTTGTAGGTGTAAGTCAAAAACTCAGAAGAAATGTACTTTGAACTGAATTCCTGAATGCTCAGTTGGTTGGTGCGCTCGACGAGCGGGAGTGATGGGGATGAATTGTCTGCGATAAAATTAGCCTTTATTCCTTTGTTATGTTATGCTATGAGATGAATGGAGGTGGATTATAATTCTATTTTTTTTTTATATAGTGACATACAGTAACTCCCATTGCGATCATACTCATGGTCTTGTGGTTGAGGCTTAGCTCGTGTCTTCGGATGTTGTACGCGTCTCCGCCGCGCGGTAGTAGTGTTCTTGGTTACTCGGCCTGCTTGGACGGATGATGACATTGTAGTCTGGCTTTTTCGTGGTGCTCGTTGAGTTTTTGATGTTGCTTTTATATTAAGTTCTCTGCGTATTGGAATGCTTTAAAGAAATGAGCCTTGGTCTTGACGCTTCGCTGAGTGTTGAAGATTTGATGTGTGGTGTGAGCGAGGTGATTGGCTGGTGTGCGGGATTTACGGTGTCCTTCCCATGGCAGGCGTTGTGCCGGGAAGGACTGACTTGTACATGCATGCATGCCATGTGTACCATGCATGGGTAGTGGGAGTTTGCTTTTACTAGGTCTATTTGAAACTTTTTGAAGCATTTATAGCACAAGGTGTCTACGGTTGCTTTTGTTTATTTTTCTATATGATTCCGTGTTCATGATCGTTGTATCTACGAGCTATATATATTGAGGGTAACAGACAGGGTTGAGCAGTACATAGAGTCCTACAAATCTCTCTATGCTTGCTCCGCTCTCAATTTCGCAGCAAATTCCTCAGCCCGTCTCTCAGCCTCTTCGGCTCCCAGCTCCCCGAAAACGTCAATTCCCCAGCGGAAGGGGTAGTTGTATCGCGTGTTGCGGTCGAGTTTGTTCAGGGCCTCGAATTCAGCGTCGGGGATGATGAAGTCTACTATCGTTAGATACCAGTGATATAAATGCGCATTAATTGAAATACCTTGGAAGTTACTCTCAATGCGGGAGGGAGTGACACTCTTTGGCAAGACGGCAGTGCCGCGCTGAACAGCCCAGGAAATCAACAACTGAGCGGGCTCCTTTTCCAGCTTCTTCGCGATTTCTTGAACCTGGGGGTCGTCGATGACACTGCTCAGGTATTAGCATGCGAAGAGAATATAATTAAGTTGTGGACGTACCGAGGTAGCTCGTAGATATTGTTGCCCAGAGGGCTATATGCGACAGGAAGGATGTTCTGGTTCATTCTGTCAGCAAAGTTCGATACATCAGCCGTGATGAAGTCAGCTGCTTACCTTCGCCTTCAGATACTCAGTGAGCTTTGGCTGGAGTAGGTATGGGTGCGCCTCGATTTGGTTCGCAGCAGGCGGGATGGTCGCGGTCTTGAGCAGCTCCTCTACCTTCTCGACGGTGAAGTTGCTCACACCGATACTGCGAACCTTGCCCTTTCGGACGAGGTCCTCCATAGCTTTCCATGTTTCAGAAATGGGAACATCTGCCAGCTTGAAGCGTTTCGTGACCGGGTCTAGGGGAGGCTGGAAAGAGTTCTGGTGGATGAATGCCACGGGCCAGTGGATCTGAGTTTGTTAGTAGAATATTGGGATGAGTATAGATACCGACATACCAAGTACAGATCGAGATAGTCGGTCTGAAGATCCTTGAGGGTCTTGTTGACGGCCTCTTCCACATTTTCGGGATGATGGTGGGTATTCCATAGCTTGCTGGTGATCTAAAAGGACATGAAAGGAGGATGTCAGTCAAGTGCACCAGACAACAGGGAATGCGACATGACACGGACAAAGATTTCCTCGCGCGGCACTCCTGATTTCTTCCAGCCATCTCCGACTTCTGTTTCGTTTTGATAGATGGCGGCGGCATCGATGTGACGGTAACCAGAGCGCAGAGCTGCCTCAACCGCATTTTCTACCTCGTGGGGTTTGGACAACTGTGACTGTCAGTTTGCGACGAGAGGTGCATATCTGGAACGGTTCGCATACCCATGTTCCTAAACCGACGGCGGGGATCTTGTATCCCGAGTTAAGCTTAAAGGTACGTCCTAGAGACATGTTGTTATAGGCAAGATCTGTATCGGAGTTTGGAAGAATGTGTGATATTTGTCCAGGTGAACAGAAGCCACGAGCTTAAAGTTCAAGGGGAAGAAGAGAGCGCCATGGTCAGGAGTGAGGGGATAGCAGATTACCCCTCATTCAACTGTCGATCCCGTCCGCGCAATGCAATATCAAATCATGTTAAGCACCGAGCCTATGGAATCCACCGAACGTGTGGTGTTTGGTGCGTTTTAGCCGTTTCCTGTCGTCAACTCATCCTGCTGGGTGATTGCGCGATGCTTTAGGTCCCGCTTGGGTTCGCCAGATAAATGGCCGGATAGTCTGATCTATACTCTCTGATGAGGAGAGATTTCCCATTCTCATGTCATCTCTGCAGGGATAAGGAGTAGAGTGAGATACTCATCGTTTCAGAATAATCATGTGGTCTGGACTACTATTGATGCAGACCGTTCGACCATTGGACTCTGTATTATCACTGATGGTCCGACAGGGGTGCACCCTTCTGTTTTATTTATTAAAGGACCTAGTTGCAGCATCATCGTTAGGAGAATCTACTCGCTATTTCGCACCAGGATGGCGATGCTTCGCGGTTCATTACAAAGTAGTTATTTTCGCGATTTCAAAGCCTACGCCACTGGCCCCTCAATGATAGTAGTAACCGAAGTGTCCCCCAAATGGACATGAGACTGGTTAAATTGACAAGGTATGGGCTGTTAAAAAGTTATTTGAGCGAGAAAAAGTCCTCGGAATATACTTAGGATTCTACATAACGAAGATAAAGCTGGTTCATGGGTTTAGTTGAGTCGGACAATTAACGATCGCGATGTAAAAGCGCCTAGGAATGCGCGGAGTTTTCTCGGCCTATCCAGATGGCTAGTGCGGGGCTGATAGTCCCCGAATTTGGGTCGCATTGCGCATAAGCAGCTTGTATCTACCCCGTATAGATAGATGACAGCCAGGGGCAGCTTATTTTTTGTCGACACGTTGCACTATTGTGGAAATGGCTGACAGGAGGCCTTTCGGCGTCTGAAGAGTGAAAATCCAAGGTCCTCGGCCTTCGAACCCGGGGAAGCAAGCGGTTGTCCCTCCAACGCCCAACTGCCCCACGCCACTTTCAGAATACTCAACAATGAGCCGCAACAGTGCATCGATGTAAGACTGCCGTTTCCTAGTCTATCATCTCATCAATGAACAGTGCTCTTCATCGGACATACACCCATTTGGATTTCAGTGATCAAATTGCACATAGGTTGACCAGGGTGCAGTCCCCGAGATAGTCGCGATAAGGCAAGGGAACGCCGGAAGGGAGGAAGTTGAAGCCAAACCGGAAAAGTCTGCTCTTTGCCTGGCGGGGGCCCACGGCCCACTTCATTCCTCTTCCACCATCTTCCCTATGGAAGAAAACGCGAAGCTTCTGCTCAATTGCTGCAATGGATAGTAGGATTCGCTGCACGATGACAACTAAATGGTTGATCTCAAACTATCATAACACGTCGTCATGGATGAACGACGCGGCAGCGATTTGATCACCAGCATACCTTATGCTGGAGGCTTCTTCAGGCACGACTCATACTACTAACAATGCCCCACTCGCATAGAATGGTGGAAGAACGGATTTATCAGCAACAGAATCATCGTGGGAACAACTGCCTTCTCTATGCGTACCTTGATTCGCTGGTTCAGCTCAGGCTCCATATTCTAAACCTTCATGGCCATTAACTAAGTCTTGGGCCTTATTATTAAGCCCACCGTCACTCGAGTGGAGCTTGCCCACTTACGTCAAGAATCAAGTGCAAGAGCTCTTTAAAAGCTACAGATCTTCCAGCCAAGGTGATTCCCAAAGCTTCATCACGTTCTGTTGCTATTGTCACCTGTCATCCACTGCACCTGCACCTTCCAGACCGAAATACACCAGAAAAAATGGGCGCTACATCTCAGAAGCAGTGGACCGTCCTCAACAAGGACAACGACTTCGATGGCCTCACCTTTGGCGATGCCCCTATCCCGAAAGTCGGTGAGAACGAGGTCTTGGTGAAGTTCCACGCGGCGTCGTTGAACTTCCGTGACCTGATCATCCCTAAGGTGCGTTCCCCATCCCTAATTGTTAGCCAGCTGTCCTCCTGACAGGTGATCCTTATTGTTGCAGGGCCAATACCCCTTTGCGCTTAACTTCCCAGTTGTTCCTGGCTCCGACGGTGCCGGTGAGGTTGTCGAGACTGGCTCCAAGGTGACCCAATTTAAGAAGGGTGACAAGGTTGTCACCCTGTTCAACCAGCAACACCAGTACGGCCCCATCGATGGCAGGGGTGCCAGCTCCGGACTTGGTGGCGTTATTGACGGTACCCTCCGCCAGTACGGTGCCTTCAACGAGAACGGTCTGGTCAAGAGCCCCCAGAACCTCAACCACCTCGAAGCCAGCACCCTCTCCTGCGCTGCTCTGACGAGCTGGAATGCTTTGTATGGACTGAAGCCCTTGCAGCCTGGTCAGACTGTGTTGGTACAGGGAACCGGAGGTGTTAGCATCTTCGCTTTGCAGGTAAGGTTCCCATATTCAGGGTTTGTAGAACGCACCGAATGCTGACACAGGTTACCACGCTAGTTTGCTAAAGCGGCCGGCGCAAGAGTAATTGCTACTACCTCGTCCGAGGAGAAGGCGAAGAAACTGAAGGAATTGGGCGCCGACCATGTCATCAACTACAAGACTGAGCCCAACTGGGGTGATGTGGCGCGCAAGCTGACTCCTGACAGCGTTGGTGTCGACCACATCATCGAGGTCGGAGGCAGCGGTACCCTCAACGAGAGTTTTAAGTGCATCAAGTTCGAGGGTGTGATCAGCATCATCGGATTTGTTGGTGGTGCTGACCCCAAGACCATGCCCAACGTTCTTGATACCTTGAGCCACATCTGTACTGTCCGCGGTATCTACGTTGGTAGCAAGGCTATGATGAACGACATGGTCCAGGCCATCGAGGCCAACAACATCCACCCGGTTGTGGATGAGAAGGTCTTCACCCTTGAGCAAACTCGGGAAGCCTACGAGTACATGGTAAGTGATTTTTCTTTTCTGCGCAATAGTTGACAGGATACTAATATAACGAATAGTGGGGACGCAACCACTTCGGAAAGCTGGCCATCAAGATTGAATGAATGCGGTAGAATGTGGCGGGGAGGGATTCTTAGATACAGCGTAGGCGATACGATTGAACGAGTACCAAATACAATAATTATAATTCAATATGCTGAAAGCAGCGGCAATCTCATGCCAACTCGGTCCTCTTTCTGTATGGGAGCAAAACTATCTGGCTATTAGTGTTACGTACTGCCTAGTAAACCCAGTAACCGACCCAACAGCAGGGGCAATAATTCCACCCAGAGGGTACTTCCAGAAAAGAGGCAAGTTTGTACCATGGTAGCAGATATCAGTCAGAATCTAGTTGATCAACAACTCGTTTGACTGCAGATGTGAGGCCAGCAAGGTGATCCTGCAAGCCAATCAAGGATGGGAATGGCTCCCCTCCCCGCATCGCCACCTCATCTTGCACCTCGACTTCTTTCATCATCATCACCGCAACGACTCCAGCTTTCTTCATCCGTTGATTCAAGCTGATGTGTGCTTTCCATTTCTTCCGACCAACCTTACTTTTTCAAATCCAATTCCTATCAATAGCTCCGGCAATTAGTCCAGATGCAAGCCAACACAAGACATAGATCGACCTTGCCGATCTACGGTCCCGATCGCAAGAACATCAAGAAGTCTCAGATCAAATTCATTCGTCCAGCACAGATGAGTTTGCTTGCTCGAGTGACGTGCTATCCTCCCTTGGGCCAGATAACATGTCACCAAAGGAGGTCCGGGAGCTCGGGATCCACGGAACCTGATACGGTAGATAATAAACCTCCGTCTTCCATGATACTGCCGAAAGATAGCTAATCCCTATAGATCAATTTCACCGTAGTGCTAGAATCAAGCACCTCATTTCCAGTGCAGCCCTGGGATATCCAAATATGGCACAACATCTCTAGTTCTGAGTGGACCGCAACGTCACTCAAGAGTCACGGATCTCCTGTGGCACCACTCATGAACGGCAGCGAGGAAGACTATAACTACTTCCGTAATGTCTTTTCAGGGAAGATAACTCTACCTTCAAATGCCGGGCATGCACAATTCACTGTTCGCTATCGAATTAATCCTGATGCCGAATGGCAATGGGTGAACCAGCAACAGGGTGCAAATGATGGGGTATTGGTATTTGGCTCACAAAAGCCCGAGTTCACTTCGCTCGAGACGACTCCAACAGATTTCAAAAAGTATTTCGAGGGAATGTCTGCGGATATCAGCATTGAGCCAAGAAAAAGCGAATCACCCGGTTCGAACTTGTGGCATCTTTCCGGGAAAGCTCAGCCAGCTCATGCAGGCGAATCTGGATACAAAGAGGTGGCCCTCGGAGTGCCAATGTCAATTCTGCGGTATTTCTCCTTGGTGCGCATCTGGACTCCATGGCTCGGTCCAAGGCATGGACAAGGGAAATTTGAATTGTCCGAGGAAGCCATTTTGTGCTCCTTTCTGCGGACTGACGGAGTGAATATTGTGCTTCTTGGGTTGTCCGGCAAGGATAATATCTTGACGACTTTTGGATCAGGCGAAAATGGGGAAGTAATCGTCAAATCCCTCAATGACAATGCAGAGCCATCTACATTCCAAATACTGGCTTCAGCTGCGGAGGATTATGAGGTTGCAATGAGCGCGATCGTATACGAAGCTCGCAAGCTCGCAAGACCATATGCCGAGCAAGAGGCGTCCGATACCAAGCGGGCCCCAGTTTCGCCACCCCCGGACGATATAGTGGTGGTAGAAAAGGATGTGAAGGCTCAGTGGATGGCTGAGTGGTACGATGGCTTAACCTACTGCACGTGGAACGGACTAGGTCAGGATTTGACGGAAGAGAAAATTCTTCGTGGTCTTGACTCACTGAAGTCTCATGGGATCCAGATAGCTAACTTGATCATTGACGACAACTGGCAAACACTAGACGATGCCGAATCACAGTTCAAGAGGGGCTGGAGGCAGTTCGAAGGAAACCCAGCTGCCTTTCCCAAAGGGTTCAAACAGACCATTGAAGCCATCCGTCAGAGGCATCCGAACGTCGAACACATCGCAGTTTGGCATGCAATCCTCGGATACTGGGGAGGAATTTCAGCGGAAGGTGATCTTGCTAAGAAATACAAGACCAAGAGAGTTGAGATCAAAGTGCCTGCTGTGGGAGGCGCTATCTCGCATGCGTTTGAGAATGGCTCAGTGCTGGCAATTGACCCGGATGACGTTCAAAAATTCTACGACGATTTCTATAGATATCTTGCCTCAATTGGAGTCGACTCCGTCAAGGCAGACGCCCAGTTCTTTCTCGATTTGATCAAAGACCCAGAGGACCGGAGAAGATTTATCACCGCTTACCAGGACGCATGGTCTATCTCCACGTTGAAACACTTCAGCTCAAGGGCTATATCCTGCATGTCAATGTTCCCACAAGCCATCTTCCACTCACAGCTTCCAACGACCAAGCCTACTATTCCCCTCCGGAACTCAGACGACTTCTTCCCCAACATCGAATCGTCTCATCCATGGCATATCTTTTGCAACGCCCACAACGCCCTGCTGACCCGCTACCTGAACGTCGTCCCCGACTGGGACATGTTCCAAACAAGCCACCCGTACGCCGGTTTCCACGCCGCGGCACGCTGCGTCTCCGGAGGCCCAGTATACATCACCGACGAACCCGGTAAGCACGACGTCTCCCTGATCGACCAAATGACCGCCAAAACGATACACGACGGAACCGTCATCCTCCGCCCAAGCTTGATCGGCCGTGCCATGGACATCTACCACGACTACAAAGAAGGCCACATAGTGCGCGTAGGCACCTACACCGGCTGGGCCCGAACCGGCAGCGGCATCCTAGGTCTCTTCAACATCTCCACCGCCGAGAAATCCACCATAACCCACCTCTTAGACTTCCCAGGAATCCACCAAGACTCTCAAGGCGAGTACATCATCCGCGCTCACACCAGCGGCATGATCGCCTCGGACCTACGCGTCCCGGACACGGAATCATCCCTAGTGACGGTGACTTTGCCCCCGAAGGGCTGGGAAATCTTAACAACCTACCCAACATACACCTTCGACCTGAAGGCCAACAAACGAGCCTCCACCTCAACGCCCACAGAAACGAAAGTATCAGTCCTAGGCCTAGTCGGCAAAATGACCGGCGCAGCAGCAATCATCTTCTCTGATATCTACGTCGAAGATAACGGAAGACTGCGGTTCGACATTAGTCTCAAGGCGCTGGGCACATTAGGGATCTATTTCTCCGACTTGCCGGACTGGAGTATTGATGATAACTTCATGGTCATGATTCTGGGGAGACCTGTGCCGAAGAAAACTGTTTGGAAGGAAGGTGGTGATAAGGGGAGGGTGGTGGCGGTGGATATTCTGACTGCCTGGAAGGAGATGGGGTTGAAGGCTGGGTGGAGTAATGATGTGCTTGTTGAGGTGTTTGTTGGTTGAAACGTTGATAGATAGGGATGTGGCTGACGCTTCAGAGGGGGCTATACATATTGTGGAATTTTCGTCAGTGGGTGGTAGTACAGCATAGTATAGAACAGATTGAATATACACAGATGGGGATTATGCTCTAGGTTTTTCAAGAAGGGCAATGTATGAGTAATTCCTATTCGGAGCAAAGAACCTGCGTAGTTTTGAAGTATGAGACTGAATTTACATAACTCGACATAATATTTAGAATAGTCATGTAAACATCAAGAAAGTCTCTAGAATGCATCATGGACTCGACTTATTACATCTTCACAAAACCACAACTTGTACACCATTCAGTTATCATTCATTAATATAAGGCTAACGCACACAATAAACTGACAACAACACATCGCAACATACTTCAGTAAAATCCAGAACTACACCCCTGCACAAACCCCCTCCCTCATCTTCCCAACCTGCCCTTCTAACCCAATCCAACCCAACCCCACACACCCCTCCAGACAAAGAACTCCCCTCTCTACCCAACCACCCACCCAACCAACCGACCTAATACTCCCCCGTCGGCAATCCCCTAGCCGGAACATGTTGCCCATGAAACCCAAACGGCACAGGCCCAGCCACCCTCGCCCTTCCCAACTCCACCAGACTCCTCGCATCCAAACAAAGCAAGTAACTCTTCCCCGTCATCCCATCCAACACTACACTAAGCAACACCCCATCGTCCTCTTCTACACCATCGGGATTCGCAACGAAGATGGGCTCTCCAGGAGACTGAGCATGATGGCACCACACCTTCGTCTCACCGGACTCATTATCGAACTTGATGATACTGTCGAAGAGGGTAGATTTCCCCGTGTCCGCGACAGCGTACATGTAGCGGTGTTTGCGGGTGACGTAGGCGGGGTGCATGGTGGGGAGTTCGGGGGAGAGGGATTTACAGGAGGCGGATTCGAGAAGGGCTTCGGGCAGCTCATGAGATTCAGGGTTGGGTGAGGAAGGAACAGCAGGGAGGCGGAAGCGGGAGACAGAGGAGCAAGTGGCATCTGTTCTGGGTTTAGGGTGGGGAGAGTCCGAGAGGAGGTTTTCGTAGTAGAGTTTGTGCATGAAGTCTGCCGTGTCGAAGGTGACGAGTTCGGCGACGATGTCGGTCTCACCATCCTGGTTTGTTTCTTGCCAGGCGTTGATGGTGTGGAAGCAGAAGAACGGGCGGCTGGTGTATGTGGCGACGAGACCCTTCTTGCCCGTCCGGTCGACGACGTACCATGTTGCTGGGAGGGAAGGGTCGAAGGGCTTGATGGAGTCGAGGAAGCTCTTGGGGCCGGAGTCGGGGTCGGCGGTGGAGATGTGAGCGTTCCAGACGCAGACCACGACGTAGTCTTCGGTGATGAGGAGGGAGTGCAGGTAGGCTGGGGTTGCGGGGAAGGTTGCCAGGATGGTGGTTTCGCCGGTGGATGCGGAGGTGCCGAAGACGCGGTAGGTAGACTCCGGGCCAAGGTCCAGGTTGTAGTTGAAGACGTCGCCGGTCTTGGGATCGGAGCGGGCGTGTGAGGCTGTCTCGGAACCTTTCAGGTCGGGGTGCAGGTTCTGCTGGCTGGCGAGGCTGATGGGTTCTAGGGTTTCTGGGTTGAGTTGCTTGAAGGCGTTGAGGTCGGTTTTGGCGTGCAGGGTTTTGATCCCGGAAGAGGTGTCCCAGCGGTGATTGTTGTTGGAGGTATCACTGAGGCCTGGCATGTTGATGCTCAGAGTGACTCCGATGTTGGCGGTCGACGGATTGGGAGTCTCATCGGGCTCGTACTCCGTTTGGACTTTTTGGTATACGACCTTGCAGGGGTCTCGCTTTTGGCCGAAGCTGAATTTGTGCATTTCACCGGTCTGTCTTATATTCTCGATGAGAGCGTCGGTAGAGAAGCGGGAGTTGTACAAGACGCGCACTGATGGGTGGGTGTCGTTTGGAGCTAGAAGCTGGAATCGGTGAGTTTCACTGAAACCATCGAACCAGTGGCTGACGTGAAATGTCTCTCCATTGACGGTGTCGACCTTATATCTGCCTGGTCCAGTGCGGTAGAGGAAGCCAGCTGCGTAGGCGGGAATCTGGCCTTCGACGGGGAGCTCAATGGGTGTTTTCTCCTCGTAGTTGGCGTCAAACTGCGGAAGCGAATTTAGCATAGAAGAATGTTTCGCTCAGGAAGAACTTACGCCTTTGACATTAGGCCAATTGTTGAAGTGGTCTTCAACGCGAGTTTCCTGTACGGTGGACATTATATGAGCAAGACACTGAAAATTGCTGGGTGAGCGGTAGACTGGAGGTAATGATTGCTGTTGGAATGATGGATGATAAATGTAAGAAGAATGAGAGGTGGAATGACGTACTATTTATCTGTCTAGCTCAAGCAAGGAGTGGGCTGTGGCCAACTTTGTTGCAGTTCAAAGAATGGCCCGAGCATAGCGGTGGGGGAATTCCGCCGGAGATGGAGCTGTCATATCACCGTCTGATATACGGTGGAGGATTGCCTATTCTCGCAGTGTGGTCAAAAATAGTCACCTCTGGCATGCAGCAGGTCTTGTTTCCCTTTTCACATGGCTGCTAACATTGATACGCCGATGTTAGCCACATACTCGCAATAGACGCAAATGCTTAAGTTCTTATATACATTTGGAATAATAGTAGCAATTTACAATGCCCGGCCCTTCGGTATTCGTCGGCACTCCGAAACTCCAAATAGGTCTTCTATTCCCCGTGACACCCGCGCTATTATTTGATGATCCTATCCGATAAACAGCTCTGTGTACTAGAACAGACTCACCCATCCGACTGGATACCATCGCGTAGTGCGCGAGCTTTCAGACGGGTCTGGTAATTCGGATAGTATGGTTGGAGCCCAAGATCCCACGTGGGAAGTGCTACATCAGGTATTGGGTTTATAGGCTCGGGCTGTAATTTGTTAAGCGTCGGCGAAGGAGTGTGCTGGTTGCGCGGAGATCCCCCGCTCTCCTGTAGTCGCAAGTACGTGCAATCCTTCCTCCGCGTGGCGCATTCTAAGCATGGCTTACCCCCATCACAGGATTTCTTGAGCCTTGCGCAGACGTCACATGCATGTCGTTCTTTGCCACCTATCCGAGGTCCTGGAATGGTCTGACCGGCGTGTATACGGGCAGAACAAGATTTCCAGTGTCGCCGCAGGACATCTCTTAATAAGGCGCCAACGTCAGTTCATGCATTGAGCTATTATGCATAGCATACGCACCCTCGTTTGTAATGAGAGCCGCAGAATCCACATTTGAAAGGCTTCTGTGAGCTATCTAAACGCCAGCAATTAGCACCACACACGGGATTCGCTCCAAGCGGCGCGTGTATCATACGAGTAGCTATATGTCGCTTGTGGTGGTCTAAGCGATGAAAAACTGCCGAGCAAAACTGACAAGTCCATATCTCGTCCATGGCTCGGTTGTCGGTAGAGATCTGTATAGTTGTGTAACCCACGAGGCTGGAGGCAAATAAGCAATATGCCGTTGGATGTAGCGGATACACTAGGCAGAAACGAGTCGGACCATGCGGGGTCAGAGCATTCGATTGCCGGTTGCGACTGAGCTTGCAGCGGGAATCATCCACATCGGCGGGATCAAGGACCGTTAGTCTCCTGAGAGGAAAAAAGCAAAGAAGGAAAATCCAGGAGCGGAGGTGAGGCGGGATCCGAGGGAGATGCCCCTCCCGAGTCAGCAATAAGCAGAGTGGAGGAATCCCGCAGGCTACCGAGCCAGTGCGGATTAGTGAGGCGGAAGTGGAGGTGGAGGTGAGCCGAAGGATTGGAAATCCCGGCGGCATTCCCCCGCAGAGCCGGGGCCGATTGGTCACATCGCGCATCAGCCACCATGGTTTGTTCACCGGATCGCGAATCAATCTCACGTATATGTATTGCGTGCTAACATATATCGACTACCGATGCCGTATGGTTCAGTCCAAATGGTTCCGTCTATACTGGCATCGAGGAGCCATCCGTGGCAGATGATATCATCATCTCCTTTACGGTAAGATGGCACGGGAAAGGCTATTTTCTTGACCAGCGAGTCGAACTCGACGCTTTCTTCGTCTTTGACATAGTATTTCTGTTTTTCCAACATTCGAGACTTGTAGCACTGAAAAAGTTGTCGTACGAAGCCTGTGTCTTCCCCGAGATGATCCTTGCCACTAACCATCTCGAACTCATCGGCTGAATCTGCAATTAGAAGCCGCTCGAGTGAGGGTAAGAAGTCAGTGGATTGCCAGCCAGACCGAACATCGCGATCCAAGCCAGAAGGTGCAACAAGGACCAGATGTGTCAATTTCGAACATCGGCGGAGCCCCCCGATGAATTGCATGGACGTAACATCAACTTCGCACAGGGCAAGACGGCGCAGACGAGGCCATAGTGACCACACCGCTGGTTCATAATCCGCCTCCTCCAGCTGGTCGGAAGGAGTCTCCCAAATGTAGGGTAGCTTTTGCGTATCAAGGCAAAGGTCGTCTGCGGCTGAACAAAACTCCTCCAACAGTGTCAAGCGCTTAAACGCTTCGCGTAGCATAGGGCGCACCTCTAGCTCGGGCATTGAGGGGTTATAGAAGCGCAAGGGTAAATCAATCACGAGCCTGGTTAAGCGGTGACAAAGGTGAAACGAGAGCGTTTCGATGTCTCGCGCAACCGAGGGCCTATCGGGCTCATCCAAAACCAGTACAAGGCCAGCTGCAGTACGTTTCTGTACTTGTGCCCCTGTATCATTGGGCCTTCGGTTGACTAGCTCTGGTGGCTCACATTGGAGCAGGTGCTCCAATAACAGTTCATCGTCAATCAGAAGACAGTGATTAATGAGAAGCCGTCTTGCTATCTGGCAAGTGAATCGCGATACTAATGTCAAGTTGACTAAAGTATCGATTTCCCCTGAAAAGTCGGGATAGGCCACCGGCGGATCTGGAGGGATGATAGACTCAATAATGAGTTGAATAATCTCGGGCGGGAGACGCATTGGCACCAAGGTAACCCCGGCGAACTTGTCAGGTATGTCTGTATGTGAAGCAACGATCGTTTATAGATTAGTACTAGGAGGGCACGATCACACAGGCAACAGAGGTAAGAAGTTGTTCAGAGCCAATGTCGATCTGGGCGAATGTCTCTCATGGATGTTGGCGGGGGGATGCTTAAATCCTTCTATCCGGCAAGCAAAGTCAACAAACATGAGAAGGGCGTCGAATTCCCCGGTCGCCGTAAAGCTATCCGTGATGAACTGCGAGCATCACGGGAGATTATTAACGCCCAAGAAACTAAATACTCTGCTTAGAATACTCGACTCAGCTGGAAGAATAGCCAGTTGTTGTAATGATGCCCAGCTTCCTGGAGATCTGCCGGAGTCGTCCAGCCGGCCGATCTTGGCTTAGTGCCGGTCCAGGTGATGGCTAGACCCGATCTAGCCTAGCGTGGTATCCTCCAGCAGCCACCATTTCATCTCATCTTCCTATTTCTATATCTTGTAAATACCTTTCGAATATGACACACCAGGAAAAGCCTCATTATTATCATGTCTATATGATCTATCGAGTTATGGAAAAGGCCGTTCTCACGGATTATTTCCTGTCACTGCTCCCCAAATATATGCCGCCCAGCTTCCCATTACAAGCAACACCAAACCAGTGAAGCAGCAGATCGAGATCATCCTACTACGCTGGTAGTGTATTACCAGATGATGTTCTCGAAGCTTGCCGATGTACTCGGCTCCGCAGGCCAGGCGCCGCTTGCGGGTCCATTGCAGAGGAGCAAGATCCCGGCCGATCAAGGAGCCGATCAAGAGGATGATCGAAACAATCGCGCAACAGATAGCCAGGAAAAGATAGACCCGCACAGATCGACGGTAGGAGTCATTATCAGCATCTTGGAGCGCACCCGTAATGATGCCAATAATAATCGTCATCCTAAATCATAAGGTCAGCCCTTGTCTACTACATGCTCACTTGGCTACTAAGGGGCCATACGCGTTATTCATGGTAACCTTTAGTGCGTACGCAGACCCAAAGACTGACTGATGCCAAAGACTCGTGCGGATGCCGTCGATGATAGATGTAGGACCCAGAGAAACCGCAACTGCGTATATACCAAATGCCGCGGCTGTCCCTTGTTTGGACTCGGCGAAGTTCACCAGCACCATGCTGATAAAGATACCTAATCCGCACACACATACTGCGACAGACAGTGAGTAGATTATAGGTTAGCGGCATGCGTTAATGACTTACAAACAGAAGCCCGATGGCCGAGGATGTCGATAAAAACTCCCAGGCAGGGTACAAGGAAGAAACCTGGTTTGGTCAGCGATGCCTCTTGTAACATCAGTTGATGACCCACCTGCATATTGGGCTAAAGAGCTGTACCAGCCCGCCGTGATTGCGTCGACATTGAATCTCTTCTGAGCCAACTCTGTGGCGTTCGAGCTGAAGACACTGGCGGTGCTAGTCTGGAACATTGAGAAGGCGAGAATAGCCCAGAACATCCAAGGTAACTGGAACATCTTGCGGAGTTCAAACTTTCTGTTCTTTTCGGTCAGAGTTTCCTGGGTTGCCTTGTCTTCGCGACCACGGAAGTGTTTTTCGCAGTAACGATTGAACAGCCAGAAGAAGCAAGTTGCTGCGTTCGTGAAAAGGTTCATGAAAACGGACGTCCAAAAGACCCATGCGAAATTTCCAGTGTTCTGTAGATTTTCATGTTAGATCGGTTGGCTTCAATATCGACCGGATTCATACCTTGGCGATGATGTTTGCTGTTGACTTTCCTACAAATCCTCCAATCTTTATTGGTCAGCTTTATTATGCACCGTATGTGGTAATATGCTTACCTTGCCAATTGCCAGTTCAAACCCAAGGGTTGAGGCGAATCCATTGCTTGGAGGAAACCAGGAGGAGAACATTTTGTACTGGGCTGTTTGGGTAGCAATGTCACCCAGGGAGAGGATAATCCGCCCGCCGACCATGAAGTTGAAGGATCGAACTGTGGTCGCAGCAGCCACTAGTATGGAACCGATAGTATACACGATATTGCCATAAACGATCATTCCTATGGCAGGTTAGATCTTGCAAACTGAGCGACAAACGTTGCGGTATACTTACGAGCACCTCCTACTCTGTCGGTTACAATACCGCCCGGCAGGAGAAGGACGGTAGCCATAAAGTTCTCACTAGCCTCAAGTAACGAGAATTGAGTGTTCGTGATGTGCATTTGCTACACCGAAGGTTAATAATTGCTCCGGTTTTGGAAGCAGTCTATCCTTACCTTCTTCAAGGTGCTTTTCATTGCTCCTGTAACGCCACTGCTCCAGTGGGACCCAAAACTAATGCAGGAAATAACAAACACCGCAATCAGCTTAGCGAGCAATGGCGGCGGACGTTTTCCATCTGCATTGTCCACAACTGTGTTGTCTTCTGAATGAAGTGAGTCTGAAGGGGTAGGTTCTGCAGTTGTAACCTCGGTGGTTTTCTTTTCGGTCGCCATATTGTAAGGCGAGGGTAGAAACACCACCAACCGGATATTATAAGGCCCACGAAGAGTCTGATGATGTTGGTTCGCGGCCTTCGTGCAGTCGATGTTCCCGTTTTTGCAAGGATACCCAGCAAATTCCCGTCGCACAAATACAAAAGCGGGCAGCGAAGAAAGGGATGGATCGACACAGTCTTTATAGGGACACCAGCAGCGATTAAGCTTGTTCAGGCAAGCTAAAGCTTCTTTTCTCACCGATCGGACCCATAGTGCCAAGAAGATACCATCAGATAAGATGCCCGTGTTTCTCCGACTGTCGCAAAAGCATCCCTTTCGAGGAAAGCTGCCCTTCTCAGGATTGCGATATTATTCTTGGCATCCGTGAAAACCTCGACTTACTGGAGCATGTGGTGTGCTAATAATATTAAAGCTGTGGCTGTGGTCTCTTTCATTGGTCATACCCTGCTCATTGTGACTGATTGATAAGATTGGTGTTGTGATATGACCCACTCCGCGGACAGGTTCCGTAAGGGAAAAGCCATGAAGGGACTCAACGGGAGGTGCAAACGATGGTTTGCCAAGCCTGTTCCACTGCTCGATGATAATGACTAGCTCTCAAACTCGTAATGGCGTCCACTCAGTTTGCAGATTGCCCAGGAAGAGCGCGCTGTCCGCTGACTCCGCTCATTTTGCCTCCTCCCCCGATAGTCAAACCCTGTCGCACTCCTGTTGGGATGCAGACTGCAGGTCTCCGGTCTTAATATGCATGCCCTGTTTTCAGATACTTAGTCAATGGTGATCGTTGCCAGTCTGCCAATACTGGAGCTTCCGCCATCTACGGTTTTTGCCTATGAAATGAGCCTTTTGCCAAGAAACAAACCTTCTGCCTAATTGACGTGTCCGCCATCTGCATTCGGGATTAATTATTAAGGTTAGTTGGAATGCTCCCCACCATAGCACGTGGAAATTATATCAGTTGGAACACTTTAGGAGACGAGTCTTCACACGTAATTACTTGCTCATCTTGCTCAAGTGGATTGTTCCACCTTCCAGGGACCAGCTTCTCGAAAAAGTCAACCTCCGAATAGTGGGGACAATGTCACAGGATAGGGACTAGCGTCCGATCCAGGAGCCCGATCGGAGGAATGAGCTACTAGCTGTCGAAATTACATGGAAGAGGCCAACAATCGCGAATTCCTCGTGTTGTTTAGCTCAGAAGACGGGTAGTGGTGCCAGGCACTGATATGTCCTTTGTCTGGCCTTTACGTCTTCTTTCAGATTGCCATAGGGCTTTTCTTAATTTTCAACCCTGACAAAGGAGAAGGTCTCTCCTAGAGAGCCTACTGATACCAAGACAAGGAGCATGACAATACCTGCTGGCTAACTCCGATAGCATCCTTCACATACTACATTCACCGCTTAACGCTGACTGAAAATACATCCATCATGCCAGAATGAGTCAAAGGATCGGTAGAACTAATAGTAAAAGTAGTCCTGCCGAACAGTTCAGAAAGCAGCATTTTAATTTGTTCGCCGTGAAAGTATCGCTGTGAAAATGCCTTCCAAGGCTAGCATCGCCGCCTGCGTGGTGTTGAGTGAATAGAAATTAGACCTCAGCAGGTTCCGTGAGAAAAGCTCGCTGTCTACGGGAGTTTCCATAAAGCAAAACTCCCACACAGGTTCATTAGTCAGAGGATAAGTCACGCCCATATAAACAAACCTGAGGAGGTCTGATGCTAGCTGATAAATGCTTATTCGCAGCATAACAGTCTAGGAACTTCCTATTCCATCTATAACAGCCCACACCTCTGCCATTGCAATCTAAGCGCATTCTAAGCGACTTGCCACTTGGACAATCTTTCAATAGTATCCTTTGGCACCAAAAGTGTCTTCCCATTGCTCACCATCAAAGCCCCAGACAAAGTATCATTCATCATCAGAATGAAGTTCGAACGACCCCCTTCGCCCCTTGCCCTCGCTGACGGGAGGCTTGTATGTCGCGAACACCTCCTCGTGATCTGCGCTATGTGCTGCGTGGATTATAGCCACACGAGAGAGGATATTGAAATGGGGGAAGCGGGCGACACCTATAGCTATGCGAAACAGGAAATCAAAATGGGGGAAGCTGGTGATGTTTATAATGACAACAGTTCTAACAAAGCCTCCAGAAAAGAGAGGCATACGTCGAACCCCATGTCAAGGGAGATTGATGAGCCAAACCAAAAGTCTTACAACAGACTCAAGGGCCATGGAAACAGATCACATGGCAAAGAAAGCCAAATGCAACCCGTTATCCCCAAGACATTCCTTCCCCCAACCCCAGACGCTACTCCACGATCACTCTTCAAACCTCTCGTCTTCGTATCCGAGGGCAGGCCTTCGATACGCCGATTTGTTGGAAGAGAGAACTACTACCAATGCCTGGTATATACAGCTGGCGCATGCCATGACAATTGGAAGGGAGATGAGAACTATGCTAAGGCAGGATGGTCATTCGTATACAGGCCCCAGAATCCATCACGCAACATCACCGGTGGGGTTGCTGGTCGCCTCGAGATGACGGGCCCAACTAAGGTCTACCATAGGCAGACAAGCACTCGTGCAGAACTGCGAGCTGTGATTGCGGCCTTGAAATATCTGTCTCATGATGGGAATACGTTTGACAGCTTGGTTATTGCTACGGACTCGAGTTATGTTGTCAACGGTGCAACACTCTGGATCCGCAAGTGGCTCTCGAAGGGTTGGAGAAGTGCTATTGGGAAACCAATCAAGAATAAGGACTTATGGGAGGCCCTCCTGAAGGAAGTGAGGTGTTGGTATGAGGAGGGAAGAGAAATCTATCTGTGGCACATTGATCGGTTGCACAATCAGGATGCAGTTAGACTGGCTAACTGGGCGACTGTCCCAGACTCGGCTCCTATTCAGTTCGAGGAGGATATTTCTCATTCTGGATGATCGATCATGGAGAGCCTTTATCTACGGTGCTATAGTAAGCCCTCCCTTCTTTAGTTGTCACTTTGGGTGCCTTCTGGGTTAACGGAGGGCTAGTTGCGTTGGCCTCCCTCTGCCTTAATTTTGCTTTGTTAGTAATCCAATATGGGACTACTCAGGTGCCACAATATGATATGAAACTCCGCAACACTTTAAGAACAAACAATCTATTCATCATAAGCTATATGGATTCCAGAAAAGTAGTCTTCCTCGTTCAACGGCCACATACACTACGCAGTGTATGATCGCATAAACCCAAGATCTAAGATAAACAGCCACTGGTGACGACGCTCCTCATAAGCAGGTTACCTTCCCTCTCATATCAATTCACCTATCGCACACCTCTCAGCGGTGGGAGTTGATTTCGGAATTTCCCACGGAATTTCAGATCTCTAAAGAGATGAAGTCGTTCATTTGCTAACCACATAATACGATCCCCTTCCAGGACCTTTACGCACTAGAAATGAATGCATCTCGGAATCAAGCACACCTTATTCTTGAAGAAGGAAGGGGGATTCGCGCCGCTTACTGGCCTTAGAACCTAGATCATTTTCCGTGGGGAAGACGATAGTATCCGTATTGCGAGGGTCCCGCTGTTCCGGCCAAACTGGGAATACTGTTGGATGTCGAAGCTCGATTCTAACAACAGTGTTCCAAGGCAAATGCTTTGTTGTTTTTAGTGAAAATGCGCAGGATTACGTGCTATGGCTGCATGGCATTTTGCGCATTGGAGATTACTAGAGTGCGGCGATAAGCAGTTGCTACATGCAAATATCAGGAGTTCTATACAGTGGAGAATGCTACATGGGACTGCCAATCCAAAGCTGCAAACTGATTCAGAGCTAGGATACTAGATTTGAGAGTGGTAACTATCAAAGACCCTAGGCCTGTCGTTGGGTCTAGTTGACACCGGTTGTCAGATACCGTCCTAACGATCGAGGGAATCACAACCAAATAACAGAACCACGAAGGGAATTGCAACAGAAAAAAAAAAAAAAATCAATCAATCAAATGTGCAAGAATTGACAAGGAAATATCAGTTTGGAAATGCGAGCAAAAGTAACAAGCGTAGACAATCTCAAGCGAACGACAATTGGACCGACGAACCATCAACGAATATCCTTCTTGAGACCTCCTTTTCACTGCAATTTTTCAAAACCCTCATTATTGGGAACTCTTAAAATCTTCCAAAGAACGTCCTCGGGACTGTTCAGGTAAATCACTCGCTTCTCCCTCTTGTGGAGGTTGATAAAATTCCTCCACAATTGGAACGCCCGAGAGTTCGCGCTGCCCCCCATGCCTTCATCCCCGATCACGATCAGCCCGCCTTGTGCTCGACTAAGGGCCACACACATCCGGTGTGCGTCCGCAACATGACCAAGCTTATTTCCGCGTCCTGGGCGAGTTGTCGAAACTATCACAATGGGCTTCTCACGCCCCTGCGCAGCATCTACGCTCATAACATCGACGCCACTGAGGCGGAATTCATCATGGAGAAGTTTCTTCAAGAGATTCCGTTCCTCCGCGTAGTACGACAGCACCAGGATATCTTCAGGCGGGCACTTGGCCGCGCACAAATCTCTCACAAATTTCGTAACTGCCGATATGTACTTGGGGTTGAACATGGACGTCCCATTCCGAAGCCTCCAGACCTCAGAGTCCTTGACAGAAACGAAATGTGACCTCCCAGGGGCAACATCGTATCTCCGCGTCATGAACTGATCCATTTCTGGTGTCTGACGTGAAGCCGACTCATCGTTGATGAGGTTTCCCTCATAAAAGCTTTCACTCACAAACCTTGCGATTGACGGGTGCATCCGGTATTGCCTGGCTAGAAGTATTTGACGGACTCCAGTGGCAAGGAGCCGCTCAAAGAGAGAAAGACGCTCGGAGTTGTAGGCCTCATTCCGTGAGACTGATGTGACTGTGGGCGGGAGTTGGGCGACGTCTCCGCTCAGAATAACCTTCTTGACTGACGGGTAAAAACGAATAAGCGGGCTTATGGCAGTGCCCTCACTTATTTGTGTTGCCTCCTCAACTATGATTATTTTTGGGCAGAAGCGTCTCAGAGCCTTTCGTCCGGCCGTTGAAGCCGTACAGAGAACAATGCTGGCCTGCTCCAAGTAGAATTGCTGGATTTCAAGCCATGCTCTTTTATAGGAGGTCACGAGAGACCTTAGCACATCTTCAGGGCTCTCCGGATCGTCAAATAGCTCCGATGGGCCACGTAATGTTAGTTCCGCGTTCATTGATTCGGCGAATAATGATCCGCGGCGCGCCAAAGAGATTTGATAGGTCAACAAGTTCCAGATGAGAGCCATCTCGGACTTCTCCATTTCTGTTCCTTGAGGCCATTCGGATTTCAACTGAACGGCGAGCTCTACTCGACGAAGAATATGTTGCCCCAATGATACCTGCTTCGTAAGCTTCTTGTCTGTTTCAGCAGTTGCTGTCTCCACGCTGAAGCGTAGGAGCTCCAAGAATTTCGGGTCTATACCGGCATTCCGCAAGCTTTGTCTCGTAGAATCAAAATTCCTCTGGGTCTCCGTCGTCGTGTGGGCCATTTCGGGCGCCATCTGGTTATCAACGTCTTCCCCAAGTTCAGTGTCCAAACGAAAGATTCCCTCGGTTCCCAGGTTATCCTTCGTAAATAGTTTGAGTATTTTCCGAGTGATTTCATCTAAACCATAATTCGATCCGCAAACAATCAACATCGGATTCCGCCACTTTCGGTGAAATGCCGCAATGTGTGCAGATACACTGGTCTTTCCGGTACCAGGAGGACCGGTAATTAAAGTGACATAGTTTTTATAGCAGGTAGAAGGAGTTGTTCCTTCTTGAACGGCCGCTATCTGTTGGTCATTGAGAGTTGTACGGATCGAGTCGAGATAATTTTGAGCAGCTGCGGGGGCCGGCACAGGCAATTCGTCTTTTATCGTTCGGTTATTGTGAGCTAGAAGCAACTCCCGTAGATAATTATGCTTTGGGATCTTCAAATTATGATCCCCATACAGGACGTATCTGATGGCCTGTCTTGCTTGTCTGATCGCGGACTGCTCATTACCGAATTTCACGACACCAGACACCTCCAGAACGTGACCACCTGTCGGAGTCTGGTCAGACCTCTTCAAGCGAATAGCGACAAGGCTTGATGGTATTCTAATATGTGAGGGAAAGCTCGGGAGCTTGATAACCGTACCCAGCCATGTTTCCTTCGAATTCCCATCGCTAGCTTGTTGGCTCACAGTCACTCGGGTACCAGGCTCAGGGAGGGCTGATTCGTTTTCGACGAAAACGTCCGATGGGAGCCTCACTGTTGTGACATCCAATATGGCATAGAAATACTTGTCTACACCCTGGGTGTGCACTCCATGAACGGTAGACAGTGGGTACAGACTAAATGTGTAGCTTCCATTGAATGTGTTGCAGTAGGTCGTGCGCTGATATTCGGCCTCTCTTAGCAGCCCGACGGTTTTGATAACCTCATAATGGCGTTCATTTATGAAGTGATAAATGGCGGGAATCAAGTTACCAAGTACAGCAGGAGTAACAAAGGATGGGGGGTTGTTCATCCAGCCACGTTGACGGACTCCAATATGATTGATAAGAGCCTCATCAGAGATGGCGGGCAAAGTGTCAATCCTGCACCAAGTTCCCCCCGAGATATATCTGCAGTCATAGAGGGGAAATGGCCCTAGTGTTGGCATTGGCATCGCTGCCAAGAATTTCCAATTCTCTAGTAGATTTCCTCGTGCCCGGGTAATTACTCTGACCTGCATATTACCCGACAGAAGCTGACGGAAGATGCCCACAGCTTGGTTTTGGTCAGAGGGAAAAGATGCCAGAGCATCGACAGATAAGTCAAATCCCATGCCATACGGCACCTCACTGTGGCTCCAGGTTATGGTATAATTGTCGGCATTGGGTGTTCCGCGGCACCTGGCTGCTTCGCCTGTGGAGAGAGTGGTCCATAAAAACTGTACCCCCTGCAGTCTGCTTGAGAAAGTATGGATGCTACCTTGTCGAGGATTCTGATTTGGTCTGTTAACGGGACGGTCTACGTCGAAACCCTTGTTCCCGAAGGCGGTCCAGATGATGGTGAACGACCTCTGCTTGTTTCCCGGATTAGAATCTATGAGCTGTAGTTCCAAGCAGAAATGTGGCAACTCGGCGCCTCCACGGATGCTAAATCTCAGCCTTGTGTGGTCCGTACAAGCGATAGTCTGAAACTCCTGCTCATATTCTCGCCTCACATTGATGTAGCACGCCATGTCCGTCGAGAAAATCTGATAGTCATTCACTGTGTGTTGTGACTCTCTATACCGACGGAAGGCATGTCTATCAAGCCTGAACAAGTTCTCGGGGGCTGGAAGATATGAGTTATACCAGTCTAGGTGGTCTCTCACCACCCCCGTAAAGTCAATAACTCTTGGGAGGTTGGGTTCCGACATTCTGAGAAGATTCGGTCTGCACAGCGGCCCACAGGGTCTGCTGGAGACAGGAGAATGAAGAAAGATGGCAACTCAAGGCGAGTTAGTGAAGAGTAATCAGGCGATCTGAGAGACTATCTTTACCGGCTTGACGTATGTAGGTATGGAAGAAATCGGAAGAGGATTTGCCCAAGTAAGAGAAGCTTGATAAAATGAAGAAAATAATTGTAGAAGTTCGGGGGAGAGAGGTGGTTTTATAGGGAAGAAGCTGCCGTTTCCCGGGCCATGATTCATTGAACAGTAACACCCAGTGAGGGACTTTTCACTGTTAGTCACCCAGCGTATTCACATAACAAGGCCTACGAAGAGAACACCATTCAATCTTAGTACCGGAAGCATACTAGTGAAAGGCCATATCTGCAAAGACTGTACAAAAGTTTCCAGCACGACGAGTGCTGCTAACTGAGGCCAAGCAGTCTATACCCAGGCATAT